ATTTTTTTTTCTTTTGTACTTTTTTCTCTGTGTCGACCAAAAATTTAAGTCAAATGAAACCTCCGGCAGACGGACCCTCCATGCCGTAATTTTACTTTAAATTATATATTATGTAATGTTTATAACTTTTCTTTTTTGCAATAAAGTATTATTATTATTATTATTTATACACATCACCACACACATAGATATCTGGTCACATTCCCCGACAATACTAGATATTCTTCATTATAATTAGTTTGTTAAACAAACGCGCTAATAACTTACTCCATTCACGCTAATAACATACTTTTGCTCTCCAGACGTCACACACTCACCCCAGACTACTCATATTCTCGGGGCGGGGTTATAAGCTACCCCTTCCTTTCGCGCTAATAAATTACATTCATTCCATTAAATTTTACTTTTGTTATATACGCTTCATAAAGTCAGAACATTTTCGTTATAAATTAAATAGATCAAAATAAGTGATTGCTAGTTTTATGATAAAATTATAGTTTCTTTTTTTTCTTTTGAAAGACCATTGAGATCTATTAATTTATTTCGTTTTTCTTACTTCATTCTATTTAAATATCTTATATCATCAAATAATACTTAGTTTACCAAATCAGACAACCCTCCTTGCATGAAACAGCATAAAACTTGAAACATATTTCATTATATTTTTTCATTTATAGATTTGTTTGGAAATGTTCGGTGATTAATCATTAACAATCTTTGCTGAAATTTAATAATGATTTATAAATTATTTTGATGGATTACTGGACAAAGTTATAGAGATAGTTGGAATTAAATATAAAGAAGATTGTGTTTTTATTTGGTAGAAGCGTGAGAGCGGATCTCAGTAGATAGTGCCTATCTGTAGCAGCTGAAATGTACAATCAATATAGATCAGAGGATTCCCTCTCTGTCGTGATGTATATTGTATATTTAAGGGCCGGTATCACAGACGAATCCTTACTTCAGATGAGCCGGCTCTTTTTCAATAAAACATACCCCGAGTTCTATTCCAGTACAGTGAATGTACAACGCTAATAGGCAGTTCGTCACGTTAGATTTTTATTTTATAGGAAATAGTACCAGTGCGGATTTATATCGCGTTTGAAATCGCCCTTGCCGAACGGAAATGGGAGGCAGAAAAGTTTCTCGATTTAAACCAGCAAGGATCTCAGGGGGTGAAATGAACAATACCTAGGAGAATTCTAGTTTTTCCTTTCGACCTTGAACAAAAGCAACGAAAACTCTTGAAACTGGCGGTTTTGTTTATACAATAAATATGAGAAAATCTTAAAATAACAATTCTCCTTTCCTCAGAGTAAATGCAATTATAATTCGAAGGAAATTTTTAAATGTATATACGATTTGTTATAAAGAATTTTTTTTAAATAAAACTTCCTGTTTTTGCCAACTACTTTTGATTTATTAAATCATCATAAGGGCTATAAAAGTAACTGATTACAAGGAAATAATGTATGTGCATATTACATAAATACCTCGATATTCCCGACTGATACAATGAAATTCATCCTTAATGTCAGGCCAAGAATGGCTATTGTTTTTTCTTTCTAAATATTAGAAATTTTACTTATTTAGTGCATGCCATTTATTATTATGTATTATACTTTGATTTCAAAAATAATTTGTATTAAAAATGTGTAAATTATATAACTTTATTTATTCAAAATAAACAGCAATTTTTAAATAAAGGAAAAGGATAAATTTTTAAAATGTACGTATACATACAATAATATAATATTAATGCATTAAAAATACATTCAATCGTGTATCTTTCTATATCTGTATCTTTTTCTTTGTCTATGTATCTCTCTTCTCTTACTCTTTCTCATGCTTTCTCTATCTCTCTCTCTCTCTCTGTCTGTACCTTTTTCTCTTTTTTCTGTCTCGACCTGCCTCACTCTATCTTTTTCACACGCCCACTATCTCTCAACCTGCCTATATCTCCCTACATCTCTAACTTTGTCTTCCTCTCTATTTCCTTTTTTTGTCCAACTTTTTTCTGTCTTTTCCTTCTATCCTTCTCTCTCTCTCATTCTCTCCCTCTCTCTCACTCACTCACTCTCTCTCTCTCTCTCACTCTCTCTCATGCTTTCTCTACCTCTCTCTCTCTGTATCTTTTTCTCTTTTTTCTTTCTCGACCTGTCTTACTCTATCTTTTTCACACGCACACTATCTCTCAACCTGCCTACATCTCCCTACATCTCTAACTTTGTCTTCCTCTCTATTTCCCTTTTTTGTCCAACGTTTTCTATCTTTTCCCTCTATCCTTCTCTCACTCACGCATTCACTCTCTCTCTCTCTCTCTCTCTCTCTCTCTCTCTCTCTCTCTCTCTGGGTTCTTATTTAGATCAGGTTATTTCTAAACTTACATGCTTTAAAACGCACAAAAATATTACGTTTTAATTAATTATTGTTTAAAAGTAAGTTCAAATTAAATTGTAAGTCACCAAGTTCCTGTTTTTCTAGAAGGCTGCTTTCGAACGGATTGAAATTTCTAATAAAATATAGTACTTTTAATTCAATTATAAAAAACAGGGTTTTTATTTAATTTATTTTATTTTTTATATTTTGTTGTATTTTTTATATTTTTCTTTTAGGTAACGAACAGTTAATATAATTTACGTTTTGTTCTTTAACAAAGCAGCAAACGTCAAATTCCCAGAATTATTTGCTCGTAGGAGTAAATTAGTGTAAATAATGTACTCCATGATTTCAGTGATGCTGTATTCAGCCGGGTTTGTTGTTTCAGATGCATCGTACACGCATGTCTTGTTTTGATAATTTTATAAATGAACAGACTAACAAAACAAATGACATTTCAATATTACGGCGGAATTTTGAATTAGAGTTCACAAATTCGATTAAAATGTTTGTTTAAAACAATAAGTACAATTAATCAATCTTTATGTACGGCATTGGTTGAGATAAAAATGTCAGTGTCACGAGCGGGATTCGAACCCACGACTTTCGGCTAAATACGCCGCTGCTCTACCACTTGACCTATCGTGACTTCGATCCACTCGGACACTTCCCATCTCAACCCAACCGTTCGAATTTTCCCTCCTTTAAGCCATTTTTCATGATTCATTTTTTTATCTCAACCAATACCTTACATAACAGTATAAGTGCGATCACTGTATGTAGGTATGAATGTATTTGTGGGTGTGATTTCGCTAGTGCTTCGGGGCTGAAATGGCTGTGGATGCCCCTGTCAAAAAAAACTTACATAAAGATTAATTAATTGAAAGATGTTATTTGGCCAATCAGACAACGACATCTATTGAATTTTTAGTTCAACTTTATAATTGTTAAAAAACGATCATTTGTTTCTTAATGAAATTTCGAATTATATTTATTTGAGGTATAAATATTTTTGAGTACGATATTGCAAGTTTATGAGCACGGTTCTATAGAAGAGAACAATTCAAAATGTCAAAAGTAAGTGACCGAATCTACAAAATAAAGAAATATATCAATAGAACGTTTCTATTTGTACTATTTCAAGTGATTTAAACGGCGCTAAACGGCAGGGTGATGTCAAAAAATCTTCTAGAAGAAAGTGTATATTTCATAGAAAAGTTAAGGTTGTTTTTATTTGTTTTTAGACATCTCCGACTTCTAAGGCAAGACATCTCCGACTACAGCTTTGACGGTTTGACAGAGCTTCATCTCGGCCAGGCCAAAGTTTCGAGCGACGAGATATCTGACATTCTTCGGAAAAAGCCTCAACTTCGCCTCCTGAAACACTACCAGCTCACGACCGCCTTGTGTCACCTCCACGGCAAAGACTGGAGGACGTCTCCAGGCATTTTGCCCACTTACAAGCTCAAGAATATTGACGCCGATTTTTCCCATGTGGTAAATATATCTTTTAAATAAAAATAACGCTTTTGTGTGCGAGCCAACGGGGTTTAAAACCCGGTGGAATAACATGACCAATAAATTTTCCATCCCGGTAAACGCTGATTTATGCTATTATGTCCCCGATTCAATATCTTTTGATGAGGCTACATGCAGACAATAAATTTTATAATGAATTGTTCATGTAAATAATACATTTATTACAAGTATAAAAGATTATAATTGCAAACAAAAATAAAAACCTGCGTGACACATTTACGAATTCATAAATTAAATCAGGTTATTATTTGGTTACTATTAAATCACGTCCTACCTGAGAGCATTCAATATATTTCTTTACAAAATATTTTTTCACTTTAATATGAAAGCATTGTGTTTATTGAGCGTTATTATTTAATAAATATCATGTATTAAGTATTTTTAATTTACCAATTGAAATTAAATATAAGTCATTCGCATGAATCGTTCTTAACATGATTTAATGTTTTAAAATTAATTATATTTATGAGCTAAACTGAAAAGGAAAACTGAACGCAATCGTTCTCGTTTCCTATGGAATTAGTTCATGTCAGTGTAACACTTTAACCTTACAAACCTCATCTCGTATCCTCCCACACAATTATCGGTCTGATTCTTAAGTTGTCTAAAAATTAGCCTTGTAAGAATCCAGTTGAAAAGCTTAAGATTCAGATATTATTCCTTCTCGCTAATTCCATATCAGCAATGTTTCAAAGACACCATTTCTTCTTTTATAGAATTGGCACTCAGGCATTCTAAACTTATTAGGAATGCACATAGTGTACATCAGATTTTAAACCGATAATTAATTCATTTTTAGACACGAAACCACTGCTTAGATGGAGCAAACGACCCTAGCTTAACATAAAAATCAGACAGAGGATACTCCGGGGTGCAGTTTAAAAGTATTTCAAACAAAGTGGTAATAGGGAACTTTACGATCAATTACTTTAGCCTAAAGCCAGAGACACACTTACCCGAAGCTTCGCCATGCGACGCTACCCGATGCTACCCGACGCAAATCCAAACTCCGATTTTCCATAAGGTTGCATTACCCCCGTGCACATCTACCCGATGCTATGCGACGCAAATCCAAACTCCGATTTTCCATAAGGTTGCATTACCCCCGTGCACATCTACCCGATGCTATGCCACGCTAACCTACCCGACGCTCTGCGATCCCCACTGTCCAGATTTTCGTCGGGTCGCATCGAGTACAGTCGAAGACAAAAGAACCGGACACTCATATTTTTATTCAAACTACATGTATTATTGTCGTTATATTAATTACAACATACTTATTTTAATATAAACCAAATTAACTGTGATTAAAAATTAATTAGTTTTTATTTAAAAAATTAATTTTAATGGTTTGGTAGAAAATTAATCAAAACACCGGAATACGATTTTTTGATATAATGAATTTAACTAACAATTTATTGTACTCGCTTCGGCGGTTCATATACTAAAATTGGAACAATTTATTACACGGTTTTGCTCATAAAATTTAATTAACAATTTATTTCATAGTTTTGCTCATAAAATTTAATTAACAATTTATTTCATAGTTTTGCTCGTAAAATTACACCATTTTATAATGTCGGGTAGCTCAGAACAGGACACTCATATTTTTTGTAGTTTATTTGAAACTAAGTACATGTAATTTTGTCGTTCTATTAATACATGTTATTTTAATGTAAACCAAATTAAACGAGATCAAAAATTCATAAGTTTTTATAAACATTGTTTAATTATGATGGTTAGGAGTAACTTTACTTAAAACAATTAAGTTTAACAAACAATTTATTAGATGGTTGTGCTCATAAAATTTAACTAACAATTTATTACAAGGTTTTGCTCAAAAAGTGCATTAAGAACAAAAGATGCGTTGCGATTGTGATAGTGATTGTTGTGATAAACGCTGTGGGCTGTATGCGACGTGTACTTGCGTCGGATAGATGTGCACACCCCACCAAAATGTGGCAATGCGTCGGGTAAGTGTGTTCCTGGCTTAAAGCTTTCTTTTCTTCTACACTGACCTTATTCATCTCCACGTCGCTTAATCCGAATCTACGTAACTCATGTTAACTCGAATAGATAAATGCCCAGTAAGATCGTGAACGCCACCTTTCTTAGCATGTTAATTTAATTTTTCCGCAATTCTGCGCGTGGCGATTGGTAGAACGACAAATAAAGCTATAGTAGTGCTTGAAGGCTTGTTGTTGTTTGTTTTAGTTTTCTTTTGTGTTAAATTGTAAGATGCCAGAAGATAATAAAAAAGGAAAATTAATCTCTTTCATTTAAAATGCTATCTATGCACACGAAAGTAATAACAAGTGACACGCTTCAATTCCTGCCAACATGTATAGGATAGGAAATGTTTCTATTATGAATGAGAATATTAGGACAGGACATTGCTTTCCCGTACACTCGGTCGTCCTTAAAAGGACAATGAGGATCTTTTACGTCCGCACCTAGCCTATTCGGCCTTATCGGACGTTTTGATTTTCAAGAAGAGAGCTGACGCCTCCGCATACGACAGAAGTGTGTTACTGCCGCAGCGTTGATGTAGAGGCAGCTCAGCCCCCAGGAGCCAAGACAACCTCGCTCCCCGCTTGCCCATTCTGAGTGGTCGGGTCCGCATTAAGCATCGAACCGCGCGCAAAGGGCTACCTAAGCCGAAATACATTAGCCTGGTCTCCCGCGCGCTCCGTAGATAGAGAAGGTCTCCCAGAGTATTGGGTCTTCCCCAACTTAGAAACTGCCGATCCGCTTCGGCCGCGGTTTTGTTTAAAGTTGAATTGCTAACCACCTAAGAGGAGACCGCCTACGGTAAAAGCCTCCAATCAAGCTCAGCCTACAACTACGTGCAAAGCATACTCGAATAGGAACAACCGATTCACTACCCATTCCCATCCGCCACGCATTCGAGGGACTTTTCAGCGTAATCATAGCGTCGCCAACGCTTATACGCTGACGTCCGATCCGCCGTATCCCGTGAGGCCGGGTGTATAACGATAATCATGCGCAAGTTTCGTAAGTTTCATAAGGCACCCGTCGCCCCATGCCGACCCGAGGCCGACACGAATACAGCTTAGGCTTTAGAGAGGTTGCCACGCCCTCAGGGCTGCACTATTATTTTGGGCCCGGACCCCCCTTGTAGACAACGGTTGGGAGAGGTCACAGGGAACAATGAAGAAACCTGGAGTGAGAGAGGGACGTGGATGAGGCACCAGGTAAAACCTTTCTTGGGCCCCGAGCCTTAACCACATTGTACCACCCGTCGTCGTCGTAGTTCCACATTAAGTGGGCTACGACTCCCTGGGTGGCATGTTGATTACCCTAACGGATAGCAATGTGACTACATTTTCGACCTAACATCTAACATTGGCCCTAGCCTGTTAGATCGAGCAATGTTAACTAGCCGATTCTTACAAATCTACGTCATCTTTTTTTTAATCTAAAACGACCTAAAAGAGTTAAAAGGGTTAACACAAATATCGTGAATACCCCTAATGTCACCATTAGCGAAGATGCCTTCGAAACCTCATTGCACCACAAAATTCGGAGTCGGCAGGTTTCTCATTGCATGTGTCTTCCGAGGCAATTCTGAACTTAGTGATGCTGTGACTGGACGAAAATTCAATTAAAATGTGAACTTTTATTATGAGGACAGTAAAATCACAACAAAAATATACATATACACACATACATTATGCGATGCCTCCTTACGGTAAACTACCCTACGCTTTACATAAACCTGTTTCAGCCTACTTTTATAAAACTTGGAATTATATTGTCATCTGTGCAAAAAGCGTAATAAATAAAGCTGTTTTTATCCAAAAGAAAACCACTTAAAATCTCCCACACGGTTTAAGTTTAACATTACAACAGGAACGTCGGTATCCCAACAGACCTTACTAATTATGCTTTTTTGTATAATTTATGTTTTAGCGGTGGGAGAAAGCCCGTACAGTGGAAGTGGGAAGCAACAATGAAATTTGCATAGGGCATTAGCGTAATCCACATCCACCCTCAAATATTGAGTAACAAGATGGTGCATACTACGCATACAAACGTAGTAATTTATTATTTTGGCGTATAAATTACGAAACTAGTGCGATTATTGTCATCTGTGTGTCATGCTTGGTGGTGAATTAAAAAAAATATGCAGATAAATTATAGATTTGAAGAAGGGAAGGAGAGTACAATCTGTAGATTATTTATTGGGTAAGGCGATTGTATAAATTTGCCTGATATGGCCATATTAAGTAAATTATTTAACTAACGATTTAATTACAATATTTATCAAATTACCGTTGAAAATTGTCATAAAAAGAATAAACACACGTATTGCTTACATAATTACGGAGTTTTTTAATTAAACGGCGAAACGATAATCGTGAATTGTTCAAACTTTTAACATTCTTTTATTAATATCTTCCTCTAGCTAATACAGAAAACGTTTGAGATTGGCAATTATCCATGTATACATTTAACAGAAGGGTTTGCTTTAGAACCGGCCCCATTTTCGCAAGACGACACGACCTTCATGGTTCCCTAATGTAACGGTTAATAATAAATGTTCCGCTACAAATGGATAGGGTTGTAATCATGGAATCTTTGAGCAAAGGAGTCCGCCAAAGAAACAAACCATCAGTCTTAATTGGACCGAACTGCAGCGGACGTTTCCAAAGTCCAACCACTTGTGCTTTGTTGTAAGTAATTGCATGATGAAATTGTATGTATTTTGTGGGAAAAAATGCAATAGCATTAGGTTTAACTACATGCCATTGTAAACTTGGCAAGGATGTCTTGCAGTGTGGAAATTGTGTCAGCATTTGCTAAACCTCGGTTCTCTCGATTCATCTAGATCTTATATATCAGAAGAGCTTTATCTATCAGCTTCTTTCATTATTTTGCTATATTTAGTTTATTTATTTATTCGTCATTTAGTCCCTTTGTCAATGGTGTTCTTT